GTCATTTGCTAAACGAAAACTTTTTTTTTTGCTCTTACCTCCACCCCCACCCCCTCTGTCCATACTCTCACGGTTTCCGAAATCAAGTTGTAGCAAGGTGATCCCATAAAGTTAGGGTGTCAATTTTTTTAAAGCATGCTCTAGACATAGTAAGCTAACAAATAAGTCGTATACATGTTTGTATGTATCTTAGATCTTGAGAAAATTTTAATCTTGTAAAAAGTTACAAATTTTGAAAAACTTTAGTTGGGTGTAGCAAGGTGAAATTTTTTTTTGAAAAATCAAAGTATTATCTTAAAATCACTCACGATTACACATCTTTTTAGCTTGCATACATGTTCCAAAAAAAAAATTTGTAAAATTTGAACACCTCTAATATATATACTTACATATATGGGTAAAAGTTTTCCAAAAAACACAAAAAAAATACAAATTTGCACCCTACATCACCAAATTTTCTGAAATTTGGCACAAATGTTTAGACATAACTCTAAATATTTAAACATGGGGAAGAGTGCCAAAAATGAAAACCATTGAGTGCCAGATCAAAACCATTACTTCCATATCTATCAGCAAAACTGCAACATTTTATTTTATGCAGCTATTTATTGTCAAATAATATAATTATTTTACAACCCTAGAGGAATTGTTTTTCTATAGGTTCTTGTTATTTAACATTGTTATTTAAGTACTAAATGAAATCACAATTGCTAATTTTTAAGTATTAAAGGAAATTGCTTGTAAAATTAAAAGTTTTTTCAATTAAAACATTTTATCATTAAAACTATTTAGTTTTAAATTTTATAATTGCTTGTTTCAACAACCACCATATTATTTAATTGCTATGCAACCAAAATATTGAAATGATAATAACGATACACAATATTTGACCTTTTTTTGCGATTTAATTAACTATAAAACACAAAAAACCACAGTCATCACCAAGTTCGCTAAACCTATCATTCACCAATATTCGTGGTCTTCGAAGTAACTTTTTTTCTGTTGAGTCTTATCTCTTGCAAAGTTCGCCAGACCTACTTGCTCTTTGTGAGACTAATTTGAGTTCAGCTGTCTCATCTTGTGATCTTAGTGTTGAGGGTTATCATCCTTTAATTCGTAAAGACTCCAATAGTCACATGCTTGGCCTAGGCATTTACATTTGTAAGAATTCACCCATTTGTCAGGAAACTAGGTTCGAATCCACAGACTACTCTTTTATGTGCTTTCGTTTAGCACCACTTCACTCTATCAAATTTCTCTTTGTTCTATATCGCTCGCCCTCATCTCAAAACTTCACTCTTTTTGATGTTATTTCTGATTATATTGACCAAGCCCTCATTCTTTATCCATCAGCCAATATTGTTGTTGTCGGTGACTTTAATGTTCATCACACTGAATGGCTTGGCTCTAGTGTCAGTGACTCTGCAGACATTAAGGCCCACAACTTTTGCCTTTCTCAATCCCTAACTCAAATAGTCAACTTTCCAACTCGCTTTCCAGACAACCCAAATCATTTACCTTCTCTACTCGACTTATGTCTTGTTTCTGATCCTAGTCAGTGCTCAGTTTCTTCACACTCACCCTTAGATGCTTCTGATCATGGTTTGGTCTCTCTAAAACTATTATCTCATTCTTCTTTACCATCAGAATCCCCCTATCATTGTACATCGTACAACTACCTTGAAGCTGACTGGGACTCTTTCCGTGATTTTCTTCGTGATGTTTCCTGGGTAGAAATCTTTTGTCTCCCTGTTGAAAAATGTGCTTCTTACATAACTTTGTGGATTCAGGCTGACATGGAATCCTTTATTCCCTCTCGACGATTCCAGGTCAAGCCTCACTCTTCTCCATGGTTTTCCTCACATTGTACTGCTGCAATTGCCAATCGAAACCGTTACTTCCATATCTATCAGCAAAACAATTCTTCAGAAAACAGACGTCTGTTTATTACTGCTAGGAGCCATTGTAAAAAGGTTTTGTCTAATGCCAAAGCCCGCTATTCTCAGATCATGAAATCTCGTATTTTATCACAAAAATTAGGCTCTCGTGACTTCTGGAAAATCTTTAATAGTATCAATGATAAGGGCAAGTCTGTAATTCCACCTCTTTTGTATGGTTCAGACTTTGTCACCTCACCTAAAGACAAAGCTGAATTGTTTGCCAAGAACTTTTCATCAATATCATCTCTTGATGCCACTAGTTGCGTTCTACCTGATATAGCCGTCAAACAGGTTGATCCATTGCTCGACATTCGTATCACTCCAGCTTCTGTATCTCAAGTGATTTCCCGCTTAGACTCTTCTACAGCTTGCGGCCCGGACAACATACCTGTTATAGTCTTGCAGAAGTGTTCTCCGGAGCTGTTGCCATTGCTCTTGACATTTCTAAAGTGTTTGATAAAGTTTGGCATGCTGGTCTTCTCCATAAGCTTTCTTCTTACGGTGTATCTGGAAACATCTTTAAGATTATTGAATCCTTTCTTTCCAATCGTAGTATAAAAGTTGTCCTTGATGGACAGCACTCTTCTTCTTATTCTGTAACCTCAGGGGTTCCTCAAGGCTCAATCCTTGGCCCTATACTCTTTTTAATTTACATTAACGATCTTCCAGATATTCTCACATCTAAGGTGGCATTGTTCACTGATGATACTACCATTTATTCTTGTCACGATAAGAAGCCAACTCCCTCTGATTGCTTGCAGGGGGCATCTGAACTTAAAAAAGATCTCACTTCTGGTACAGCATGGGGTTCACAGTGGCTGGTAAACTTTAATTCAGATAAAACTCAATTTTTTTCAGCCAATCGTTATCGCAATAGTTTAGACCTTCCTTTATTTATGAACGGTAATGTACTCGATGAGTCTCCTACCCTTCATCTTCTAGGATTAACTCTTACTTCTGATCTTTCTTGGAAACCTTATATCAAATCCGTTGCAAAATTAGCATCTGCTAAAGTTGCTTCTCTTTATCGAGCTCGTCACTTTCTTACTCTGGATTCTATTCTTTATCTCTATAAATCTCAAATCCGGCCTTGTATGGAATACTGTTGCCATATCTGGGGCGGATCTTTTAATGATGCCATTTCTCTTTTAAACAAGGTGCAAAAACGCATTGTAAACATAGTTGGACCTGCTCTTGCAGCCAGCCTTCAATCTCTGTCACATCGTCGTAATGTTGCTTCTCTTTCTCTTTTCTACAAAAACTATAATGGGCACTGCTCAAAAGAGCTAGCGTCCTTTGTGCCATTTACTAAAATTCATTCTCGTGTTACTTGTCATTCAATTAAGTCTCATCCTTTTTCTGTTACTGTTCCTAAGTGCTCCAAAAACTCTTACTCATCTAGTTTTTTTCCTCGAACATCAGTTCTTTGGAATTCGCTTCCTTCATCTTGCTTTCCTGATTCATATAATTTGCAATCTTTTAAGTCGTCTGTCAATCGTTATCTTGCTCTACAATCTTTATTTTTTCTCTTCCAGTAACTTCCAACACTAATTAGTGGTTGTTTGCAGCCTTGTTGGAAGCTAAGATAATTAAAAAAAAAACAAAACTTTAAAACGATAAAAAATGAATCGATAATAAATCTAAAAACTTTTACTATTAAATCTCTCTTTGGAATCTAAAAACTACTATTAACTTTTAAAAAAAATCATGCTATTTGAATAGATAAAGATATAACAAAATTACCAAGTAATCAACTTTCTTGCTTTATTTAAAATAGTTTAACAAGTTTTCAAGCAAACTTTTATTTCAAATAAAACTTTGTATATATTAATTATAATCTCAATATTATAAAAGTATTTATAATTCCAGGAATATCTATTGTTCAACTATTTAATATAAAAATATTTTTCAACACAAAATATTTTTTCATTTTTACGTTCTCTTGAATATTCAACTTTTGTTTGAAATCTATCATTATTACACTTTTAATTATTAATGTTGATGCTGATAAAAACTTCTACTTGGTTAACTCTAAGTTACATGTCGTTATAAAACAAGGTGTTACTAAATTTTAAGGTAAGATTGTATACAATGTATCAAGCATATATGGTAAAATCCTCCAAAAATAGGCTTTTTTTGAAAAATCTTGCTTTTTGGAGCCCGTACGCCACTGGGTACAATAGCTGGTGGCCCTAGACACAATTAAAAAAAAGTGTATATTGTACCTAAGGCCATTACTTTTTAAACCCTTCTAAATAACAGACTTTGGTATTTCAAGTCATTATACCTACATTATTACAAAGTAATTAGTATAGAGTGTGATCATATCAATATTTTTAGACATACTATTTTTAGACAGGTCCGAACCATGGGTAACATGGATAACAACAATATAGAATATTGTTGTTATCTAACATAAAAAATTCAATCCTAATAACACACAGATAATTTTGTAATTAAAAAGAGACTGGGTTCAGAAAATGGTTAAAATAGACCCAGGGCCAGATCAGTTACTGCTCTCCTTTAACAGTTAACTTAAAAGTCTTTTAAAATGCTACCTATCTAATTAGAGTTCAAAAAATAACAGATAAAAGATACTAAAAGCAGAAAGTAAAATTACAAATAAGAAATATTAAAAGTAGGAAGTAAAATTTAAAGTAAAATTGCAACTGAATCCAATGAAAACTAAATTAAAAAACTAAAAAAAAACAATCAAGACTAAAAAAAAATTTAAAGCATACCTGGTATTTTAGAAATATAACTAATTCAGGAAATAAAATTAAATGCTTCTGTAAACATTAAAATTTTTTTATCATAATAACACTTTTTATTACTTTAAAAAGTTTGCATAAAACATTGTATCTGTCTTTAGTAAATTTATTACTTTAGAAAGTTTGCATAAAATATTGTACCTGTCAGTAGTAAATTTATTACTTTAGAAAGTTTGCATAAAATATTGTACCTGTCTGTAGTAAATTTATTACTTTAGGAAGTTTGCATAAAATAATACCTGCCTGTAGTAAACTTATTACTTTAGGAAGTTTATATAAAACATTGTACCTGTCTGTAATAGATTTTTGTTTTTTGCTGTCTTATTTAACTCAGAGGTTGATGAACTTAAATGATAACTCTTCAAAGTTTCTTCAATCACACTTAGCTGCTTATCAATTTCAGTAAAATGGAAGTCGCTAGATTCATTGCACACCAAATCAAACTCTTAAAAAAATTAATGAAATTTTTTGTAGCTTTTGAGTTGCAACTATTGAGCTTATGATTTGGGGAAGATTTTTTGTAAACAGATGTTATTTATTTTATTTCAATATATAATTATCATATACAAAAGTTATCAAATCAAGATTCAAAAATACTATTTTCATATTATAATTATAAACAAAGAGTTTATAAAAGAGTCACAAAAAAAAACCAAATATCCAAGGGTAACATAACAAGTATCCAAGTGTAACATAACAAGTATCCAAGGGTAACATAACATAACATTCACATCAAATTTTAAGGGCACATGTCATTATCCTATGTTTTGGAACTGACTAAATTTTAATAATTTTAAATTCAGAGTAACCTTTTTTTTTAAATTCTTAATAGGTTTCAATTTTGCTGATTTATGCCTGCTCAGCATTTTTTGCACCACGATTTTTGTATATAATTTTTTTATAATACTATATATACTATATATACAGGTATATATATATACATATAAATACATATATATATATATATATATATATATATATATATATATATATATATATATATATATATAATATATATATATATATATATATATATATATATATATATACATATATATATATATATATATATATATATACATATATATATATATAAATATATATATATATATATATTTATATATATATGTATATAAATATATATATATATATATATATATATATATATATATATATATATATATATATATATATATATATATATATATATATATATATATATATATATATATATATATATATATATATATATATATATATATGTTATTGATGTTATTATGTGTCAAGCAGGGGTACCTTTTTCGTAAATTAAAATCTTATAACAGTAAGAAACAATAGTAATGACGTATTTATTTCTTAAACGAATAGCTTTAACAAAATAAATAGACTATAAAACTTTATAGATGAAATCTTCTCAAAGTGTTTTCATTAAAGAGTAAACTTACTATTTTAATCATTTATTACAAATGTATATACAACTATTTAATACAACTATTTAATCACGATTTTGACTTTTTTCAAACTGAAATGTAATAGCTAATGTAATAATAATGAAATATGTCAATAACTATAATATTTAATTGAGACTTTTTTATTTATTTATTTATAAACATTTTTTATTTTTTTTTCTAGTTATTTAGATGCTCCCTGAAGTCCTTACAGTGTTATCATGGAGTAAGGGGGAGAGCATTTAACTAGAAGTTCATGCCTCTTTCCATACCAATGTCAATTGTTGGGCTAAAGCCAGCATCAAACCATGGACCTCTGGATTTTGAGCCAGAACTCCAACTGCTTTGCCATGGTTGCTCGAGACTTTGCTTGAGACTACACAAAGTATGAACCAGGCTTGGTCGGGAAGGGGGAGCGATTGCTCTGGAATACTGACCACAGAAATTATATTTAGTTGCGTAAAACTGGCCAGGTTTTTTAGTCGTTTTGAGAACATTTAAGTTTATGTCCGAAACAAAATATTTTTGTTTTACAGACATACATGGAAACATAAAAAACTTGAATGTTCTCAAAACATCTTTGTGCGAAAGAATAAAAAGGATATTTGCGAACACTAAAAACCCGCCAAACTAACAAACAAACTAATTCTATTGGTTCAAAAAATAGGCTGATTAAGCGAAATAAAGTTCTAGATTATTCTGTTAAAATGTTTTAGAAATTGTATTATTCACGATTTGTTACGTTTTGAGATTTCTAGCATTGTTTTAAGAATATGTTTTAAATATATATTAATTAAATTGTTAAAATTTTAAAAGTTTATTATAAATAAAAGATTTTATTAGTATATTCTTATTTTTTATTTTAAAAGAGATTGTATTCTTTATGTAAATGTAATTTTGTGTATTTGCTTTTTATCGTAGTGTATCTTTTAAAACAATTTTTATGATTTAAACAAAGACTTACTAAAATAATTGCGTTTTCAATGAAGTTATAATCGTTAAAGTTAATAAAACTAATTATGTAACAAACATATAAGAAGTTTCGGGTTACTAAACACAAACAACCAATACAAAGTAACTCGCGGATGAACAAGCATCGCGCCTGAGGTCACGACAGAACACAAATATATAATAGCAAATAATTAGATATAAAGAAAAGTTTCTAGATATTGGTTTACTAACTCTAACTATTTTCGCTTAAGTTGCCATTCTTAAAACTTGTTATACTTTTTTCTGCTTTAAATACTAATTAAAATTACAAAGCCCACTCACTAAACATCATCAGCGATATTGTGAAGCAGTTTCGCTTACTGATCATTAAGTATTTTTAACCTTTTTAGTTGATTTCTATCTTGATAATTTAATTTCTATAGTATTTCAATGATTTAATTATTTCATTTGTTTATCTTACTAAGAAGACTCGCTTCAAATATGTTAAACTTTTCAAACTACGCGAAACATAAAATAGGTATTAAAAAAATTAACTTTTTTATTTATAAAATAAATTAAGCTTAAGTAAAATTAAAACTTGCAAACTTAGTTAAATAAAGAATATTTGTTTCCCTTTTAAACAATCGTAAGTTGTTACTTTATATGAAAAACATCGCTTAATTTTATAAAAAAAATTATAAAAAAGCGATGTTTCAAAAATATTTGTTCTAAATGTAATTTATTTAGCTTAAACTTTTTTTGCATTTAAAGATATTTTATTTGCCTACTTTTTTTTTTTTTGTAATTGTCTCTCATTGGTCCAATTAATCTTAGCCGCTTTTTTTTTTTTTGCTTTTTAAAATGTTCTCAAAACGACTAAAAAATCTGGCCAACTTTTTGCAACTAAATATTAATTATGTGGTCAGCAATCGAGAGTGATCGCTCCCGCTTCCCGACCAAGCCTGTTGAACTAGTGATAATATTGAAACTAAATATTGAAACTAAATATTGAACTTTCAAATCATATTAACTATAAGCAAATGTCTTTCCAACCAATGGCTATTAGCAAATGTCTTCTATACAATAAGAAAGACAATAACATTCAAATAACTACATACCAGTTTCAATTACATCTATTCCATGCAAAATGTTTTAAAGTGAAATAAGAAAAAAAAAAAAAAAAAAATCATTAATATTCAAAAATTTTAATTATTGAAAATTAAAATTGCATCGTATTGTCAGATCAAAATTTTGGACTAAAAAGTTGTTAGAAAAATTGTATCAGAAACGCTTATTAGATAAAAACCACAAACACTTTTGCAAATGGTGACCCAGTGTTATTTATTTTGCAAAAGCTTTTGGTTCAGCGCTACATAAAACTTGTCAAACAAAAACAAAAAAAAAACAGTTACTCTGTAAACTGGAAAGCTGTTAATATGGATCATTTCTAAGCAGAAAACAACCAGTAAAAATGTATTGTTAGATCTTAGCAGTGTGCCCCATAAATCAGTTTTTTACTTTGTTATTTATGATTATATATATATATATATATATATATATATATATATATATATATATATATATATATATATATATATATATATATATATATATATATATATAGTATATATATATATATATATATATATATATATATATATATATACATATATATATATATACAAATATATATATATATATATACAAATATATATATATATATATATACACACATACAAATATATATATATATATATGCAAATATATATATATATATATATATATATATATATATATATATATATATATATATATATATATGTATATATATATATATACATATTTATATTAGGGTGTATCATACTTAAGTCAAAACTTAAAAAATCAGATTTTCCATTGGCATTATTAAAAAAAGGTTTTATAAGGGAACTGCCTTGAAATTGCAAAAATTGAAAATTGCAAAAAAAGTGATTTTTTCATATTTCCATATTTTCAGGGTCAATTTGAACATTTTTAGACTTAAATCAGCTTTACAGCAAATTGTAAATCTACAGAAATTAATACAAGATAAGCATAATACATTTAGTAGTTAAAACTGTTTCAGAATTTTTGACTTACAGAACATTCACAAAAAAAAAAAGGGAGCGGGGTTTTTCTGTGTTTTGCATATAATAACTTTAACACATATATTTTATTAGGTCACTTTTCAAATAGCTAAATAGAAACTTTACTTTTAAAATTTTTTTTAAAACATTTAGTATACAAGTTATTGATTTTTATTTATTGTAAAGTCATCAAAAGGAAGTACAGGGGAAGATACTTTTTGTTTAATTTTTATAGGTTTTTATAGTGGAATATGATAAGAGAAATATAGTTTTTATAAACAAAGAGAGACTTGATGGATGAAAAGAGATGGAGCCGGGATTGCTCTTTCTTTCTTTTTATATAAGACTATGCTACTGTATATTTTCAATTCTTAATCTTTATTTGTTGTATAAGAATAGTTTACCAGGATTATATTTCTTATTAATATTGATTATCTTTTAATTTAAGACATAAACTGATATGTATTACATTTTTTAATTAAATTCTTGATTATTAGATATAAAGTATAATTAAATTTAAAATGGATACTAGAACAAGAAGAAAAATCGGTTCTTGTCTACCTGAGTATTTGGGATTTGGAAAAGAGTTACCAGTAGTTGAACTGCCAACTGTGAGAGATGTTTTAAGATATGGTATTTTTCTAAGAGAAAACAGTGAACTAAACAGAAGAAACTATAGTAATTTTGAGTTGATCCAGGATATTTATAATAAACTTTCCAAAAAGTTGGCTTATGGCCAGTGTTTTATTTCTCCTGTAACTAGTTTAAAACATAATTTAATCACAAGACTCAAAGATGTCTGGAACAAAGCTTGTCTGATTTCTCAAAATAGAGCAAGTAAAGTTACAAAACAAAAGTTAAATTTCATCATTGACAAATTATTTGACTTGGTTGATTGTAAATGTATGGTTTCCCTTTGTTGTGAGCAAAAATGTCCTACTAATTGTAACGTTAATGCCCAC